TATCTATGTATTTAATTTATTCAGCAGAATAACATAATAGATGTGAGGATTGTGGATTATTGAAATGCATGTCTTGTTGAAACATATCCTTTCCTGTAAAATAGGCCTATTACATTTTTCAAAATGCCTTTCCTCCAGTGTTATGTATATTACAGCTGGAACTCATATACAAAGACAAAGTAGCTGGAAAGTTAGCAAACTTCTTAATACCAAAAGCTGTCAAAACTTGAGAATTGTCGCCATCAGCTGTTGTTTCCAAGTTAATTATAAGAGGCTGTGGCCTTTCGGTGAAGACAAACTGTTTGTTTAACACTGTTTTGTATTGCGTATTTTAACAGCTATGTGTGTTAGCTATGTGAGTTAATGAATAAACCATTCGAGCATTACTTTAATCGTTACACTCTTTCCATCTCAGTTCGACCATCTAGTATGAAGCTAATGAGATTTATTCCTGTGACCAGTCTGCTGCTTGGTAAGTGATTTTGTCAAATAAAGAACTTTACATCCAACGAATCCTCTCGGTGAATTTCGCCGACCTGTTGTGAGGGGGTAGTCCATCTCGGCAAATTTCGTCCACCGGGGTGGGGGGTGCCTCAGTAGATTTCGCCGACTGGAGGTGGGGCCTCGGTAGATTTCGTCCATCCGGGGCAGAGTCCCCCTCAGTAGATGTATCATTTATTAATTTATCAATCGACCTGTTACATTTACGGTTATAACGGAATTTCTTTTCACGCTTTTTCATTTTTATTGAAATACGCTGCAAATCATCTCGCGATTTATTGAATGTATTTCTTCCCTCCTTCAGTGACAGTTCTGCTGTTTTCGTATGCTGTTGCTCATACCACGGATTCAGATGCCACAGATGCCACGATGGAATCAGATGCGGCAGCCACGACACTGAGCCCGAACTCCGAATCACATACGACAGATACCGGATCAGACACCGGATTAGATACAGCAGCCACGACACTGAGCCCGAACTCCGTATCATATCATTCAGACGCCGGATTAGATATGGCAGCCACGACACTGAGCCCGAACTCTGGATCACATACGACAGGCACCGAATCAGATACGGCATCCACTGGATCAGACACGACAATCGCGACATTGACCCAGACCGATGAATCAGATGCGACAGCAACGACAGATATCACCGAATTCGATATGGCAGAGACAACAATCAGCTATAGCGCCTCCGTGACCATAACAAAGTCCTCTTTTGTACTGACTCTGGTGTCTGTGTTATTCATATCAGCTCTGCAGTCATTGTAATACGACTGCATTTTTTTTTTATATTAATTCACACGAAAAGGACATTGTATGCACACCTTACTGTCTCGTTCGTGAAAGGCCTAAGGTAACTCTAACCTGTAACCCAACTATTCAACTGCGGGACTGGGGTCAAGTAAGTACGCAGTTTGGCGATAATTATTTATGGTAATTAGCCTATTCTTAGTATAGGAGCGAAGGCAAACATGAAGGCTGGGCCCAAAAACTGGTGATAATAAATAATATGTTCATCAAACAATATTTTTATACTCTGTTTATATGTTTCCATAAAACAGACTGTCTGGAATGAAACAATAAAGACTATAAAAATTGCCTTAGTTTTGTCTTCAAACTTTGGCATCAGCTTGTCTTTGTTCAATACACTCTTGCTTTGCTTTTTATAAGTTTGCAGAGGAAATTCACCTTCCACTGGTGAGTCATGACGAACGGAGGAAGCCTCACTATAGTGTAAAGATCACACTCCAAAGGGAGAACCTTCGGGGCAGAGGGTGGCTCTACATGTGAAATGCCATCCTCACTGTCGCTGCTGGCATGGAAAGGAGCTGGGACCGATTTCACAGCTTGCTGTGTGTCAGACGGGGACTTACAGGTGCTTCGCTTTCCTCCTTGCATTTTCCACTTGGCCTGATCTTCAGATCACCTACATTGTCACATAAAGATAAATTTCAAATTCACTAGGCAAATGTCGCCACCAGCGTCACCCCGGCAAACTTCAGTATTTAATCTCAATTTGCCTGTGATGGTGCACCACGTGCAGGTGGAGAGGTATTGGCTTGCTAAGCTGGCACCCTTTCAGAAGATGGTGGCAGCCACCTTTGTTGCCTAATAGGTTGCCCGGCACTGGCCGTTGTGATGTCATGTTGTGATGTCATGCGTTGTGATGTCACAGCTGGAGCAGACATACGGTAGCGCGGTTATGGATCTGCTTCCCTACATCCTGCAGGTTCTGGGAAGGGTGCAGCCAACACCCATGGCTGGCTAAGCTACCTGCCCAGAGTCAGCTGATAAAGCATGTGTGGTTCTCCTGGATGTAGGGATCGGCTCAGGCATGATGAGACATTCATGTGCACGGCCCTACCCGGAGTAATGAGCATCAGAAGATTCAGAATTATAATGGTTAGCAGTCAGCTGCCTCGAAACTCATGATGTGAGCTTTGGAGATCCACCAGCGGCCATCCCACAGGTCCACTCGGATGACTGATGAGCATCTCTGTGTACATTTGGCACTTTCTAGGTGCCTCTTTGCCTTTCGATGGCTTGTCATGCAGCAAACTGAAGCTGAAGGTCAGCTGAAGGTCAGAATGTAATGTACGGCTGACATATTCATGGAGGTTAGTTCGAGGCCCCAGAGACCCAGACTAACATAAGAGCTCTGAAGATAGATGGGTCTTCATTAAGCATTTTTGTTAGACGCTAGCAGCTGGTGTCTCTTAATTATGTATTTACTTTTGTGTATTCACTACATTTTTAGGGCATATGACTATGTTGCAAGTGTTTGCTGTAAAACGGGCTGTTTTACACAATGCGCTGCAAAAATATGTAAGCGAGTGGGCACTATGTCAGCTGTCATTCTGCAGCGCATTAACAAATGGAGCCATTACATTTTTTTAATTTAGCAGATGCTTTTATCAAAAGTAAAATATAGTTGAGAAAAGCAGGCCAGGCAGTCCAAGGAGCAATCGGGGGTTAAGATCCCCACTCAGGAACTCAAATGTGAGTTAATTCTGCCAACCTTGGGATTTGAGCTGGTGACCTTACTGTCAGAAGCACAAGTGTTCAAACCAGCTGAACGACACGCTAATCCCGCATATTTTGGATAATGCATTCACATTGTGCCCCAAACTCATTTTTTTATGTATGTTGAATGTGTTTTGTGTTACAAGTAAAGATATCTGGAGCAGATAATAGCATGGAAGACAGGGGAAGGTATCTCTCTTCTCTGTAGCACCGAGCCCTGCACTGTACATGCAGTCATTCTGCCAACACCCCACGCAGGCAGAGATACTTCCTGCAATTATCTGCTGTGCGTTCAGGTCGGCTTGCGCTCAATTCATCCATTTGAAGGTTAACGAATTAGGACCCCTTATATATTTCAGAGTGAAATATTTTAATTGAATATTACCAAATTCCAGACGACAAAGCTCATTTGAATTGTTTTGGCATTTTGGAAAAACCATATATTTTTTACAACCCAGTGAGTTGCTCCTAATGTTTTGTTGTTGCTTGATAAAACACAATGATAAGATTTTTTTTTAAAAAAGCCCACCCTCACACCATTCAAATAACAGTGACCCAATGAGGTAAGTCTTTCTGTATCAGGTTTTTCTTATAGAAACCAGTTTGGTTCCTTTTAATTGGTGAGCTCAAGAATGACAAGGGGCCTTCATGTCACATGGGCACATGAGGATTTTTTAAAGCTGATTCACTTTATTGAGCTTTGTATAGTCAGAAGACGTTTGTTCTCCTCTGTAAGGAGACGCACCCGGCTGCTCTCTGTTCGCTTTTCCGTCATCTCTGCTTTAGGGCCAATCGCTCTCTGCTGTGCTGCTCAAATTCTCTTAATTGAGAATCAGAGCAATCTTACTGCCACGCCTACCAGGTGTTTCACAGATTATTATGAGATTCTCTGTATTCTACACGAGGAACACTTTTGACTTGTTTCTCCACTGCTCCACCCTTTCACCTGCAGCTTCTTCTCAGTATCTCACACATCCTGCATCATTACTGCCTGACTCGTTGTATGGGGAACTCAACCCTACATAAATATATATAACCCTGTTACACCTAGAACTTTCCCCATTACTAATACTTCTAGTAACTACCATAATTGTCATTCAGTCTTTCTCTATTAGACATATTCAGCTTCATAATACATAATTGTGCTATTGATTCAGGTGTTTTTAATAAAAGTGTTTTGTTTGGTTACATGTAAAAGGCACACTTATAAAATGAATTCAAGACTAAAAAAGGTTATAGGACAGACATGATCATAGAGTAGGTACCATACTATGTATGATCAAAATGTGTCCCAGTAAAGGCACAAACATGGGAAAGGGTTAAAATGTTGATGAAAATAATAAAATACCTCCATAAAAGCATAATGGAATAGTTGGCCCACTGTTCAGTATGAATGAAACTTTTGCAGCATAATATACCTTACTGAAATGTTTATGAGTTTCCGCAAGCACGGATCAATACTAGAGCCCCATTCAAAAAATCAGTTGTGGGTCCCCCACTGCTCCAGTGTAATGACGGTTTGTGGCCAAGACCCACCCCATATAGGGATAGGCACTCTTATCCTCAAAGGGCCCATGTATATCCAGGTGTTTGGGAACCTTTAACTCAACTGTTTAAACCCAGGTACGAGAACTCCTCAGTCAATCAGTCCTCTAATTATTAATCTAATTGGGGAGTTGCAGCAAAAAGCTGCATACCCAACAGCCCTTTCTGTAAGATTGCCCATCCCTGCTGTATGGTATCTGAAGTATTTTAATATTCAGCCAAACAAAATTATGAAATATGAACTTTAAATTATCGCAGGGCACATCTCTTAATATCATGCATGACTGACACCTAGTGGCCACTTACAAGCCGTACAAACGACATCCGAACGCGGTTTGTTGGGCGGAACTCGCTCCTTTATAGACTACAAATCCCACAAAACATATCAGCAGAAAGACGTCACACGTTACGAATGATTTTTTTTTTGTTTATTTGACTTAAAGGAGACGCAACAAAAACGCAGGGAATCCGTGTAAGCTTAGGGTGGTCACCCCCTTTCTTTTCTGTAGCTTTAAGAAACAAAAAAGTGTCTAGCTGTTTAAAATGAATATCGAAACTAAATAGATAACTTAAAACTTATTTATTTAGCTAGCGGGAAAATTAATTAGGCATTAAGCTGGCCACTCTCAGAAGAGGGGTGTTTCGCTATAGACAAAGGTGATAATATTTTTATAGTTGGCGTACGGTTCTGCTGCTAAAGAGTGGCTCTCCTTTATCAGTTTAAGAGCAAATAAGCCCATTCGGGGGAGCGGGTGGGAGATAAGGAAGGGCATGGACTCGGAGAAAAACCGAGCCGAGGTGAGCAACGTCGGAAAGAGCGGAGAGAGCGAACTCACCGGTGAGGAGGCCGCGGGAGCATTCACGACCCCTGCTGCGGCGCCCTCCCGAGGCAAAAAATTGCGAGGGCGTGGGGTGAGTCGCTCGAAGACCGGGGTGCTCTCTATAGGCCTTTCTGATCAAGGATTAGTTACGTCGGGCACCGGAAGGGTACTACGGGATCGCTCGGCCCGAGCCAAGGCTGGGAGACATGCCGAGGACAGCAGTAACGCTAACAGCCAGAGGAAGTTTGCGTATCCGCGGCGTAGGAGGAGCACCGCAGCCCGCGTCGGCAATTCAGGGGACGTGGGGGATGACAGCGGCCTGTCGGTGGAGTGAGTATATTTAAATGGTGTTGGCAGTAATCCTTGTTTACGTGCTGTTCGCCTGGACAGACTGCACACGGCCGCCGTCCTGCGGCATCCAGCCATCGGCTTTTGCGTGTGCAGCCGAGCTCGCTTTATGTTTTCGTGTTTGTGCCACGCGCGGCGGAGCGCGTGCTCTCACATGACGGTTGGCGAGTCCCGCCCTCGAGGCGACCTCCACCTGTCTCGCGGGCGCGCGCGCCGTCCCCGTGGATGGCGGCCTGCGGTGACTGCGGACGGTTCGTGGCGGTTCGACACGTGGAGCCGTTTGCAGACCGAACTTGTCCTTGCTAGACTGTTTTGAAAAGCGCATGTTTGGCTCTCGGGTTACTATTCTAACCTGTTTCATTTCCGCTTTTTGTCTTCCCCTTTTAGTTCCGAGGAGAAAAAAGATGCTCCGGGTGTTAAAGGTACCTTCTCGAACTGAACTGTGAGCGCCATTATGTTCGGGCTGCGCTTTAGTGTTCAGTCAGTGTTCCTGCATTTTACTGCATTAACTTTCTCTCTCAGTAGTGTTTATGTACAGTGGTGTTTAGTCACTACAGTACTGTATTAACCCTCTCTGTTAAGTGTTAAGAAACAGTAGTGTTAAGTCATCTGTACTGCATTAACTCTCACAGTACAGTGTTAATATACAGTATTGTTAAGTCACTGTACTGTACTGTGTTAACCCTCTCTGTTCAGTGTTAATGTTCAGTAGTGTTCAGTCTCCTTCCCTGTTCTGTATCAACTCTCTCTCCCAGGATAGCATTGAGCAGGTTGCTGACCACTGTGGTCTAATAATAACCTGCTCTCTGGTCTGTACTCCACACAGTGTTACACTGTAGTGCCTCTGGCCTTGTGATGCCCCTTTTGTGTGATTAGCTCACCTTGTGCCCTGCAGCCGTGCAGTCAGCCAGACCCCGGAGGATGCGGCGGCTGTGCGGCCCCCGTGTCCCTTCTGCCCGCAGCTCTCGACCTTTCCCCACGTCGCTGTGCAAGAGCGAGCCAGGCACTGAGGCCTCTTATGGTATGTCAGGCTTGCCATGGCCCTGGGTGCCTTTCTCTTACCCTTTTGCTGATTATCTGCATGTGTCAGTGTCTGTGACCGTTTAGGCAAGTGTGTCCTTGCCGTGTGCATGTGCCAGCCTGTGTTCCGACTGCTGTAATGTCACCTTCACTCTGTGTTCGGTTTCAGTGGCAGACAAGGCTGTGGCCGACAGTGCCCAGGCCAGGTGAGTGATGGGCTCTTATGCACTGCCGCAGTCTCTGAGGTGAGGTAAAGGTCTCGGTGTATATAGTGGCTTGCTGCAGATAGGGACTGAGATCGACAGCACAGATTGATATATCCACTGCAAAATTCAGTCAGAATTTACATTCCCATGCATTCATATAAAATCTGAACATTCGTTGAAACAAACACTGCAGTTGGTTAATAGCTAATACATGTAATCAGTCTGACTTCACATTCTTTTAATGAGTATCTGTATTTCTCAGTGATGAGGAAGATGAAGTGATGGATGAGGAAGAGGCTTCTTTTGTGGATGACCTGACAGATCAGAACTACATACCTTACATTGACAGGTACAGTTCACTGTGCAAGATGAGCAGTGCATTTACTACCTATAGTCCTAGCTTACTTGTGTTCCCAAATATGAATTATTACATTATTGTGATTAATGTCAAAAGGGAGGTAATCCTCTTTTTGCAAGTGCACTTAAAATGTCTCTTCTAGTGAGGAGATTACCAGTGAGGAAGATCTTCCTTTCAGGGATGACCTCAATGATCAGAGCTATGAACCACAGAACAAGAGGTAATTTTCTCTGTGTGCATGAGTGCATGCATTGGAGCAAGTGAGAGACAGAGCAAGACTTGCCTTTCCCTTTCTCACAGGACCAACCCAAAACCAAGACGAAAACCTGCAAAGCTTCCAAGGGAGAAAAAAGAAAAAGTGTGTGATAAAGGGACAGATATAAAAAAAGAGGGAGGAGAGGAGATGGATGTGAAACTGGAGAACGAGTTTGGGGATACGACAGAGCCACCTAGGAAGTGAGTGATGTAATGTAGATTGGAGATGATAGATGGTGAGAAGGTTACACACTGACTGAAAGGTTCCTGCCATCTCCTCACTCCTGCAGCCTTAGGCAGAGCACATTACCTAAATTACGGAGTCTATCTGTATAAACAAGCAGTAAAACTGTCGTCTGATAATTAAAATGGATGTGGATGAGGATGGGCATACAGTAACTGATTTCTTCTCTTAGAAGAGGAAGACGACGGAAAGATGATAAAAGCCCTCGTCTTCCGAAAAGAAGGTAAAGTTTTACTATTAGTTTGTATTGAAGCTGTCATGCTGACTGATTCCAAGGCACAGCCTATCACACTGGGATAAACACAAGTGAAGGACATTGGTTAACAACAAGCTGTTTGGATGGCTGTTTTGACATTATACATATCATACAGTTTGTGATAAGTGAGACTGAACCTGGTGAAACTAAAGCCTGTGAGCTGCATGACGGCTGCTATCCAGCAGGGGGCGAAAGCGTTGCCTTTTTGCCTTTGTCGTGGTTTCTGCCACGGAGTGTACGAACCTCATGGTATGTTAGAAGGAGCCTCAGATCTTACAGGAATTGAATGACTATCGTCGCGTCTCTTGAGTTGAATTTATGCGCCAAACAGATAATCTGTTAGCACTTGATATTGCGTGACCGTTGGGTCTTCCTAGCCCTCAAAGCTGCGCTCTTGTGGTGTCCACACAGGAAGAAGCCGCCCGTGCAGTATGTACGCTGTGAGATGGAGGGCTGCGGCACGGTCCTGGCCCACCCGCGCTACCTGCAGGTTCGCTCTGGTAACCATGGCGAGCGGTTATCACGTTGAGCGTGCGTGGCGGTCCGGCATGACGGACATTCCTTCTCCACTCATCATTTCAGCACCACATTAAGTACCAGCACCTTCTGAAGAAAAAGTACGTCTGCCCCCACCCCTCGTGCGGGAGGCTGTTTCGGCTTCAGAAGCAGCTCCTCAGGCACGCCAAGCATCACACAGGTAAACGGGGAGTAACACTGCCGAAACTGGGAAAAATGGGTTGAGTGTAAATCGGGCACTCCAAAAGGCTGATGGACTATGTGGAGCTGTCTGTCATCTCCTCCAGATCAGAGGGACTACATCTGTGAATACTGTGCCCGGGCCTTCAAGAGCTCCCACAACCTGGCTGTGCACCGCATGATCCATACGGGGGAGAAGCCCCTGCAGTGAGTCCCTTCCTCTTCATGTGCTGCCCCCTGTGGGCTTCAGCTGGCACTGCAAACCAAGACTCAAGATTTTTATTTGTCCCATACATGAATGTAGTGGTACCCCAGCAGTGAAATGAAATTGCTGCAACTCCAGACCGTGGATCAAACAAGGCAGAAGGATAACAAAAAAGAATAACAAAAGTTAAAATAATTGCTAAATATATAGAAATCTATAAAAAGATAAAACGTTGCAGAAAATTATTTGAGGAAATATTTAAAGTGCAGTTTGCAGCTGCCTGGTGGAGGGACTTAAGGGAATCAATGTGTAATGTCTGATATCAGAGGAGCTGCTCTCATTCAGTCAGGTGAGCATAAGGCCGAATTTCACAGGTCTGGAATGAGTGTTTTATTCTATGTTCCAGCTTCGCCTGTAGCTCTCCGGGCCTGTAGCACTTCTGACCTCTCTCTCTGTGCCAGGTGTGAGATCTGCGGCTTCACCTGCAGGCAGAAGGCCTCGCTCAACTGGCACATGAAGAAGCACGATGCCGACGCCTTCTACCAATTCTCCTGTAGCATCTGTGGCAAGAAGTTTGAGAAGAAGGACAGCGTGGTGGCTCACAAGGCCAAAAGCCACCCAGAGGTTCTGATCGCGGAGGCCCTGGCTGCCAATGCGGGAGCCCTTATCACCACGCCGAGCTCTTTGCTGGCTGGGGGGGGTGTGGAGGGTGGGGGCTCAGGGGCAGAGCCTGCGCCGGAGCCAGTGGAGCAAGTGGTGGTGCTTAACCAGGGGACGAGCCTTCATGCCTTGCAGGTACCCATATCACTCACTTTGTCCTTACCAGCTGGCAGCCCCCAGCTTCAGCTCCTGCCGGGTGTGGCCTCCCTAGCACCGCCATCCCCCCTCCCACCACATTCACAGGACCTCGTGGAGCTTGACTGCGCCATCTCCGGTCCCCCTTCATCTGGTGCGGCTCCCACTCCACAGAGCTCTGCCTCCCTCGAACAGCATGCCATCTCCGCAGGGGAGGGGGGTATGGGCTGGCAGAGGGTGGATGAGGGCGGTTCAAGACCGGTGCTTCTGGAAAGGCCAGAGGGTCACGTCCAGCACGAGACACATCATGAACTGCTCTAGATGGTTGACTGAAAGGGAAGAGCCAATCAGGCTCCCACAATTTCTCAATGGGTGTTATTTTACAAGAGGAAGAAGATGGAAAGATGATAAAAGCCCTCGTGGCTTTTGTGGGAGGGGCTATTAAACTGCATGAAACCATGTCCAGACTGCAAAGCTGGATAATTACTTAGATGCTACTACATCAGGGAACAGATCTGATCATTCTTTATTTTTTTCCCCCAACTTTACCACATCACTCCGTCCCTAGACTTGCATCTCTTGCACCTCTGATTTGCTGTGCGTGTGTGAGACAGTGGCAGTTTTGAAGCTGGTTAATGTCAGGGTGGATGTCTCGAATCCCTCTTCACTGCTCCAGCTCTCTGTCACTTCCTGAAGAACCGTGTATAACATACTTAGGAGGTGTTTACCGTATTTTACATTTAATTTATTAACTACTTCTTGCTGTGTTGTCAAAAAAACATTGTGAGTTAAAGCATTATATTTAAGTATTATAAATGCCTCCATCAGTTTTGCAACTGAATATGTTATGTGCACTATTTTTAGACTGTTTATGAATTATAATAGCAATTTTAAATGGTTCTCAGTTACAGCACCCCTCCTATCTGGAGTGTAATGCAGCTGTCTTTGTAGTTGTAACTCTGGCACCCTCCTCTGTCTGCAAGTTGTAGTTGCAACATTTCTCTGAGGTGCGGTTTCTGAAGCCTGCAGCGGGTGGAATTGTCATGTACTGTGGAACCTTTTAGATGTTTATAGCAAAACAAATGTGTGATTAGAATGAGAGCAGCAGGTAAAGCTGCCAATCCTGGCTGCTGTAACTCATGCAGACTGTTGGGTGTGACTCACCACTTTAATTGGAAGGTTATAGTGGGTGAATACAAATGTCCATTTAATTAAAAGATGACATTTTTTTAAAATCCTAAATATGACTGGATGTAGTACTCTTTGATTTAACCTACTTTGGCATTTGATGACAGCTTTATTCACATAATACATGATATTTTCCAAGTAGTACATATGTGTTCACTGAGTGGTATGTTAGAAACATTTATTGAAGTCATATAGGAAGAGACATCACAGTCACCTACAGTGATATTGTTAGTCTCAGCTGTCATCTGTACACATCTAAAATGGCAAAGTCTAATGTGCTCAAGAAAGCGGACTGAGCCCCTCTTTCTTCCTCTGTGCCTTGTACTGTTTCAGGGCTTTCTTGGGGGGCGTCAGACTGTCACTCAGCCCCACCTTCCTCTTCCTCCTCCCCACTTCCTCCAGTACCTCCACTGAGTCTCCCTCTGGCTCCTTGGCCGTGCTTTGTTGGGCCGAGCTGCTGAGATTGCTCTGGTGGCTGGGTACGGTGCCCCTTTGGCCGTCCACGGGTATCTGCAGGTCGCTGTCGTGGGCAAACTTGCAGCTGCTGCCAAAGCGACAGCGGCCGTCCCGCCGATATGCAACGCACATGCCGCGGCCCCCTATGTGTGAGGGCCGGGCCTGCGCGGTCAGGGGCACATGTTTCTGCAGGAAGCTTAGCTGTTCCTCCGCCTGCTCTTTGAATGGGTTGGCAAACACGCTGCTGCCAAACAGCACACTGGGGGGCGGTGGTGGCAGTCTGCCGCCAGGCTGTGGTGTTGCTGAGGCCGGGACGTTGGCCTCTGGCTCGACTGGTACTTCTGGGCCAGTCTGCACGTTGGGATTCTCTTCAGAGTCAGAACTGGAACTGGACCCAAATCCTGACTCCAGTAACAAATTCTGACTCTTCATTTTGGTTCCACTCTCATTGTGTCCATCCGTCTCATGCTGGCTACAAAAACACATTTACAGGTCTATTAAGTGTTTTTCCTACTGCATCTGAACATATTTTGACTGTGATCATTAAGGTATCCAATGTGAATCTGTCTATATACAACAGGACAGTGTACTGTGTCCAGTGGACTAAATTAATGGTGGCAAAGACTAGTTACAGGACAGGCGCCAGTTGGGAACAGCTTCTGCAGTTCAGGCCAGCAGGTGGCGCAGTGGATACAAATGTCTGCTGTACCGGGGCGACCATGCTATGACACCAAGAATACATAAAATATATGAAGAAATACAAATATGATTCCCAGCCTTGGAAAGGAAAATCGTGAATATAACATGTAGCGGGCGAGAGAATAACTATACGCTAATATAATACGGAAAACCGTCAGGAAATAACGCATGTGGTGTCTGGCTCTTACCGTTGCTCCCCAGCGTCGCTGTCCGAGTCGGACGACGAGCCGTAGCCCACCAGAGGAAGCGCATTCGCCGACATACCCCTTAGTTAGCCATGCGGTTTAATGAAAGGAGCGTCTTCGATCCCTATTCTGACACCCCGGACCAGGCAGTTTCACAGCCGTCTCTACGATCGATCTGTAAGCGGCCGACCCGTTTAAACGAGCTGGACAGGGTTCAGCCGGGCTTCGTCCAATAGCTCGAGGACACAGATCTTCGACGTCTCGAACGCGAAGATGAAGGGAAATGGGTTGCAATGAAAATGACAAGCTGCAGTAAATCAACCAGCCGAATCGAGCAGCTCGCGCCGCTGGATCAGGTCGAGCGCTGTATACACGTCACTTCCGGTTTCTGCACCCCAGAGCTATATGATAGGCGCAAAGGTGACGTGAGTTTCCCTCCCACAACAAATGGAGGTGTCCGTGCTTTTATTGTCTGGTCATCACATTGTTATTTAATTACAAATAAATGAGCCAAAAAGCAAGAGAAGCCAGTGGCGACCGCAGAGACCCCACTGTATTCACGTAGCTGAGGATTATGCGTCATACCCTGCTCCTGAGTAACACTGCGTATTAAAATGCAGTTTTTAGTATCTTGCTTCATCAGGTCTATTCATAGTTTCCTCGGAATATAATGACATATCCTAACTTCTCTATAGCAGCGCCTTGAAATGACCCGCCCTGCTGCCTGTGATGTCTCTCCTGCCTGCCCTACTGGCCAGTGATTCCGCATTTTCACCTGGAGCGTATTAATCAAGACTTTGTTAATTTGACTTCCTCTGCCAGCCCCTAGAGGTTGGAGTCCCCTTTGAGTCTGGCTCCTCGCAAGGTTTCTTCCTTCTAGGGAGTTTTTCCTTACCACTGTCGCCTCAGACTTGCCCTCTGGGGGCATTTGAGACAATGTAATGATGTGAAATTCGCTATACAAATAAAATTGAATTGAAATGTAATTCTCTATAGAGATTTGACCGGTGGTACCCAACTATATTGCCAACATACGTTTCAGCCAATTCATTGAATTAATGGAATATATAAAGAAAACATAAAAGAACTTATTTCATTATCACAATTACTTTTATTTATAAAATCCTTTATTATATAACACATTGCATTATTTAGCAGATGTTCATGTTCGAAGCTACATGGAAATAAGGAAAGCTTGGGCTCATAGAGTCCCTGGAGCACTTTTGAAATTATTAGTGTGCTGGCTACAGATCTTCGAATGCCTGATGACGTGAAAATAAACGATAAGCACTAAAACAGATACCCAAATGCATACTCAGGATAGACGGGTATGAAGATGGATAGAAAAACATTTTCATTGAATGTACATGGAACTTTCTCATGCAATTAATTCAGGTGGGTCACTAAAAGCACATAAACGACTCCATTGATGCATTGAACGTCAGGCGAACCGTTGCTTCGCTCCCCCTACTCCTACTGGGTTGTCCCACTGAAGAGTCTTTCGGACTCCAGCATTTTAAACTCCGCCGTTTTTCTGTCGGGAGGGAGCTGGGGCTGGAAACCTAATACCGTAAACGGGTAACCTAAGTTCCGGACAGCGTGAAACATAAACGCCGCAGGCTGCAGCTTCACCAAAAGGGGGCATCCAGTCACTGGATAGTGCGCATTTCGCATAGTTTTGATCGGATGAAACTAACTCATAAGAATAAAAGCCTAGTTCAGTTTAATGGTCTGAGTTTACGTTAGGAGCAGAGAACAGCAGGATGCGCGAGTTTTATCGAAAGTAACAACTGCATTAAAGTTGTTACTCCATTTTTCGATATTAAATTGGCAGTTCAGAGGAATTCCATTAGTCTTCCGCAGTTTGTGGTGATGGATCTCAGGAGTAGGCGCTCCTTGTCGGCGGCAGGTGGATCCTCGGCGGCGGGTAGAACGGCTGCGCTGGCCGACTTGTTACACTGGAACTGCACTGAACTGCTGAAGCTCTACGTAAGTATCCGTATTACCACCGGCAAGGGGAGCCGCCGTATCCCATCCACTTACATTACAAGACATTAGGTTGAAGGGGAGTACATTTGCTTATTAAACATGTTCTACTTGCCTCGTGTTTTAGGCCTGCATATTAGGTTTCATATAATTTTCCTTACCTATATATGATTTTTGTATTTTATATATATAAAACGTGTATGGGAAGAATGTGGAGGCGCTGAGCCGGGAACAGGCAGCGAATTTTTCGGCAAGTTCAGACCCACGCAGGCGCCGCCTGTGGGCTCTTTGCGAAGCTTCGCCACCCCCACGCACGGCGTTTAGGTCCGAGTTCGCAGGGGATTAGAAAACTCTCTCCGCTTCCCCTCTGCCTCCGCTGGCACTTCCAGTAACCGCAAAGGCGCGGCGCTTGTGGGAGTCGCATTAAAACCTAGTCCGTACTTGTCCGCGTGCCTCATTTGACGACACATCTTTTCCATTACTTTGCAGACTTTCCAAAAGGTTTTCAAGGTGATCTGAGTTAATGGTCTCACAAGTAGACTTTTAGATTGAACTTGCAGTGTTCTATCAGTATTGACACTTAATGTGCATTTTATTTATTTTGGCAGAGGATCCTACATTTTTTTTTTAAAAAAAGCAGGTTCAGGCAAGTCCTGGAGTAATTAGGGTTAAGGGCTGTCCTCAATGGTCCAATGAAAAACCAGTCTGCCAGCCTTAGAATCGGGCACAGTATCCAATCCAAACCCGTTCATGAATATTTGATTGTTCTGTTTATGCAAGTATACACTCACCTAAAGGATTATTAGGAACACCTGTTCAATTTCTCATTAATGCAATTATCTAATCAACCAATCACATGGCAGTTGCTTCAATGCATTTAGGGGTGTGGTCCTGGTCAGGACAATCTCCTGAACTCCAAACTGAATGTCAGAATGGGAAAGAAAGGTGATTTAAGCAATTTTGAGCGTGGTATGGTTGTTGGTGCCAGACGGGCCGGTCTGAGTATTTCACAATCTGCTCAGTTACTGGGATTTTCACGCACAGCCATTTCTAGGGTTTACAAAGAATGGTGTGCAAAGGGAAAAACATCCAGTATGCGGCAGTCCTGTGGGCGAAAATGCCTTGTTGATGCTAGAGGTCAGAGGAGAATGGGCCGACTGATTCAAGCTGATAGAAGAGCAACTTTGACTGAAATAACCACTCGTTACAACCGAGGTATGCAGCAAAGCATTTGTGAAGCCACAACACGCACAACCTTGAGGCGGATGGGCTACAACAGCAGAAGACCCCACCGGGTACCACTCATCTCCACTACAAATAGGAAAAAGAGGCTACAATTTGCACGAGCTCACCAAAATTGGACAGTTGAAGACTGGAAAAATGTTGCCTGGTCTGATGAGTCTCGATTTCTGTTGAGACATTCAAATGGTAGAGTCAGAATTTGGCATAAACAGAATGAGAACATGGATCCATCATGCCTTGTTACCACTGTGCAGGCTGGTGGTGGTGGTGTAATGGTGTGGGGGATGTTTTCTTGGCACACTTTTCTTGGCACACTTAGTGACTCTGATGTTGGCCTGTTGATGCTATACTGTCAGGGACGGATTATGGGTTGTGTGGGCCCCTGGGCAAAACGTTCGCAACCACAATTCAAGGGCCCTTGGCAACCAAACGCCCTCCCTCCATGTTTCCATCAGAGGCCCTATAGGGTCAGGGGCCCTTGTAGGCAGAGGATCAAANCTATAAGCATGCATGTGTCACTAATGCTAATGTAAAACAGCTGGATGAGTCTTTCAGTCAAGGAAACAAACCAGTCAAAGCACAAGAAGAGCTGAACTCTTTAGCCGAGCACAGGAGCCTTTTAATTTGGAAGTAGTTTGTAAAACCCGAAGTAGCTCAAAGTGTCCTCCCTGACATGGATTATCTGGTCACCCTATTCTATATAAGATTTGGGATTTAAGAAGTTTGCGCGTTCATAGGTAGGTATGGTTCTGTATTTGTTACTTTGAAATTATTAGGACCGTTTGTGATTTTTTTTTTTATTGCACTATATATGTATAGCATACTGTTTCCCGAGTAGTCAGTTACTGCGTCAATCCGTACGTGTAATTTCTTGTGGGTTTTTTTTTCGTGTAACACTTAGTAATGATAATAAGTTTTAAGTTTATCATTCTCCATCAGAACTTGTCAGTATATTAAGTAATGGAGAGCTAAATTCGCCTCACAAATAATATTGTGTCACGGAATGCACGAGGCACAGACCGCGGAAGCAGAGGCAGGACTCAAGGAGTCGAAAAACACGGGGTTTAATTCAAAGTACAAAACGAGCAGGAACACGGACCATGCAGAACCGACGAAACGACGTTAATGACCGGACTGGGGAAAACATACCTAACGCAAACGGGGGACACGGGGATTCCACATCAGGTAGCGAGGGGGCGTGGCACACGGGGGGATCGGCACGAGCAGGGCTTGACAATATTGCTTTCTGGTTGGTATCAGTTTTGAACTAACAGGGGCATATTTAGAATCTGAAGATCAAGGACGATGATAGTACTATTAGAATTGGCACTAATATAGCAATCTGAAGTGGCTGCAAAGAAAAGGTGAAAGTCTTTATGGCCAGATATGTCAGAAATTTGGTGCTTTATTGGTCGCTGTTTTGGTACATTAAGTTACGTTAAGCCTTTTCACGTTAAGCGTTTTAGAATGTCCCCGCGCGTCGCCCCCCGCCCCTCCTGAGTTGTCCCACTGAAGAGTCTTTTGGACTCCAGCATTTTAAACTCCGCCGTTTTCCTGTCGGGAGGGAGTTGGGGGCTGGATGTGAAAACCTAATACCGTAACCGGGTAACCTAAGCTCCGGACAGCCTGAAACATAAACGCCGCAGGCTGCAGCTTCACCCAGGCACTGGGTAGTGCGCATTTCGCATAGTTTTGATCGGATGAAACTAGCTCATAAGAATAACCTAGTTCAGTTTAATAGTCTGAGTTTACGTTAGGAGCAGAGAACATCTGTAACAACTGCATGAAAGTATTTTTCGATATTAATTTGGCAACTCATTGGAATTCCATTAGTCTTCCGCAGTTTATGGTGATGAATCTCAGGAGTAGGCGCTCCTTGTCGGCGGCAGGTGGATCCTCGGCGGAGTGTGAACTGCCTGGGCTGGCCGACTTGTTGGAAAAGGCCTGCACTAGACTGCTGGAGCTCTACGTAAGTATCCATATTATCACCTGCAAGAGGAGCCGCTGTATCCCATCCACTTGTATTAGAACACATTAGGTCGAAGGGGACTAGCCTACATCTCAGGGTTTGCTTAAACATGTTCTACTTGTCTCATGTTTTAGGCCTGCATGTTAGGTTTCATATAATTTTCCTTACCAATATATGCTTTTTATATAATTCAGTGATATTGGGCAGGCAGCCGGGAAGAGGCAGCGAATTTTTCGGCAAGTTCAGACCCACGCTGGTTCCGCTGGCGCCGCCTGTGGGCTTTTTGCGAAGCTTCTCGGCCCTGCTGTCCGTCTCCCTTTCGCCGCCCCCACGCACGGCTTTAGGTCCGAGTTCGCAGGGGATCAGAAAACTGTCTCCGCTCCCACTCTGCCTCCGCTGGCACTTCCAGTAACCGCATAGCAAAGACGCGGGGCTTGTACGCCGAAGGGAGTCGCACCTAGTCCGAACTTGTCCGCGTGCTTCATTTGACGACACATCTTTTTAATTACTTTGCAGACTTTCCAGAAGGTTTTCAAGGTGATCTGGTCTCACAAGTACACTTCTAGATTGAACCTGTAGTGTTCTGTCAGTATTGCGCTTAATGTGCTTTTTTTTTATTATTTGGCGGAGACTCCTACATTTTTTAAGAAAGCAGGTTCAGGCAATTCCTGGAGCAATTAGGGTTAATGGCTGTCCTCAATGGTCCAATGAGAAATCAGTTTGCCAGCCTTAGATTTGAACCAACGACCTTCCCAGGCACAGTATCCAATCAAAACCCATCAAGCGATATATCACCCCCCTAATTTTATGTTTTCTTTTGTTCATGAATATTTGTTTGTTCTGTTTATGCAAGTATATATTTAGCATCTGTAACTGCTGGTGACAGCTCCCGGATTCACATCCAACCTGCCCCTTTGGGGTTTACTGTGAATTCTGTGGCCGCCGTCAACTCATTATAGTAGTCATTCACATGTTTTCACAACTCTAACTCTGCATTGAGTTTTGCAATAATGGGTCAGGTAACTGTTTTCTTCGGTCAACAAAACATGCTTGGGAACCCCCCTAAGTCAGCATTATCTTCCAGAGGTACCACTGTGAGGGCCCAAGGACACATCTTGATGGGGGGGGCAGAATTCAGGAATGTCTAGTTACCCCTGGAGCCAGTGGAATGTGAGCTAGCAGACGGCTGACTTTCTGCCTGAAGGTGCCATTATCCGTTTAGAGCGGGTTTGGCAGCTTTTGTCATTCACAGGTCTGGAAACACCAATAGAACCACTAGAGAAGGAGAGGTGAATGTTACCCCTTAGGCTCAAACCTTCACTCCTGAGCACATCACAGAGCACCATGCTACTTCCCCCCGCTTGGGTTGGTGCTTTACACTCCAGACCCCACCCTTTGTGTGTGGGGTTTACATGTTGGCCAGGTTTCCCCCCCGAGTGCAAAGACACGCAGTTGGGTGTCCCTGAATTTGCCACCTATGTGTGTCCTGTAGTGAGCCGGCCACTAGTGCAGGGGGTGACTCTGACGTTGGCCTGTTGATGGAAGTTTAGTTTGAATTGTGATGTGATATCATGTCTTCACGGCTACTTGGATGGTGAGATTTAAGTCATGGCTCATCTGCATCTAATGAAGCAAGATGGTAATGCTCTTTTTAAACTAAAGTACATTGAAGAAATTTAACATTAATTGTATTCAATTTTTGCCCCTAATTTTGGAAATTACATCATATGTGCCCTGTTTGTCTAAGCAGATTTTCTGCCATATAGATGACACACTATACTATGTTACTGAAAATCAGATCCTTTGTCAGGTTCCCCTGGTGATTGTTTGCCAAGCTTCATGGTGCCCACTTTGGGTGACTCTTCAGCTAGGGGGAAGGCTGGGGCTGGGCAGTGAGTGTCTCTGACTGTTACTCTGCTCCCTCCGACCATCAGAAAGAGAAGGAGAGCTTCACTTCAGACATCACATTGACAAAGGATCGCATCATCACCCTGCCCCCAACCTCACCCCATCTCTCGGCGGATGATCGGCTGTGGATCCTGCATTCCGCCCTCCATCAGTGCCTCGAGTTCCTGGAGACAGTGATGCGTAGGGAGGAGGAGGAGTTTGGAATCCAGGTGGGAGGAGACTACAGGAAAATGCAAAACATAGTGAAAGCCAGACTTGGGGATCTCCTCCAGAGCATGAAGCTCCTCACAAGGGGAGAGAGAGTGACGGCACTCGCTTCTCACACAGAGGTAAAGTGCATTTCGTCACACATCGCCTCTCTGTGATAGGAAGTAGTTTAGAAAGGGTTTGATAAATATGAGTTTTAATGTACTCTAAACAAGGAAGATTCATGTTTAGGGAAGACCCTTGTCAAGCCCAGGTCACTAATACTTATTTTAATTTTATTTATCCAGTTCTTATTTTTTTTTTTAGAAAAAAACAATAACGAAATAATTTAACCATACTCATTTTACTATGAAAGTGAATGGTGGTCTCTCTCTTCTTGCTCTCCTACATATTTCTGCTTCTCATTCCATCCCCTGCAAGTCTACAGATGGCTCAGAAAATGGCAACATTTTCGCGCTGAAGGTCTGGATCTACAGGGTCCTGCAGGAACTGATGCACTGGATCAAGTGTGCCAGTGAAACTCTCCTAACACTGCAGTCGGAGCGAGAGACGGAGCCCAGAGTGACCAGGAGGAGAGGGGGCCAGGAGAAACGCGGAAGTGAGGGAGAGGGAGGGAGAGAGAGAGAGTGGAGGAGCAAAGTGAGGAGAAGAGCGATGGAGGGAAAGGTTGCAAAGGGGAGGTGTAAAGCAAAATGAAGGTATGGCAGGCAGGCAGCCTGGAGGAGGAGTAACAGGAGCGCAGAGAAGGACACAGACTGGAGAGGAAGTATGAGCAGACTGAGAGGCGTGTAAAAATATAGTAAAAATACAGTGTATGTACACTGGCGGCCAGAAATTTAGGCCCCCCTCAGATATTAAAAAAGGTACCACTTTACAATAAGGCTCCCTTTTGCCTGGTAAATGGTAGTAACTCATTAATAAAAAAGAAAACTGTTATAACTTGTTTTAAATTGTCTACTAATAAGTGCTGCAACCTTTACAATTAGTACCATTACTAATCTACAATTAATAACCAGATTATAAACCATTCATAGACTCTTCATATGGTTAGCCTTATTGTAAAGTGGCACCAAAAAAAATACACTGCTTTGTCAAACTTTTATTAGAAGAAAATATTAGAAATGTTAACAAAATAATTTTTAGTATTTTAAAGCTTGTAGTAACACATTATTTAGCCACAAAGGCTGAAACTATTGGTTTTGTAGAAGACATATCAGGTCTGTCTTTGGTGCATTGACACTCACTTTGTGTTGAAATTCTATTTACTGATGTCATAACCTGATTTGCTCCTGGCTTCTCCTGATTGTGTCTTAATAAACTAAACGATAATCACATGTCTGCCTTGTCCCACATCAGTTTGTCAGAGGTTTAATGCACTGTCTGCTCCTCTCTTCAAACTTCTGTTGTATTGTATCACACTAAGTCAGAATTTTTTATCAATATTTGCTATTTTTGTGCTTGTAATGGCTAGAACTCAAAGCTGACAATGTAACAGAGGGGTTCAAATTGAAATTTTGAGTGAAGAAGCGTTCTCCCTTCGCCAGATAGCCAGAATGTTAAATGTCTCCAAGCATGCAGTGACCTGCTGTTTACAGAGGAAAAGGTTGACAGAAAGCAACAGTGACCAGAAACAGTCTAGTGCAAGGAAAACAAGGAAAGTGACATCAAAGGCTGAAGATCAACACTTAGTTGTGATGTGCAAAAGAAATTGGAAGATGACTGTAATGGTCTGNTAATCCGTCCCTGTATACTGTGTTACTGAAAATCAGATCCTTTGTCAGGTTGCCCTGGTGATTGTTTGCCAAGCTTCATGGTGCCCACTTTGGGTGACTCTTCAGCTAAGGGGAAGGCTGGGGCTGGGCAGTGAGTGTCTCTGACTGTTACTCTGCTCCCTCTTGCTCCCTCTTGCTCCCTCCGACCATCAGAAAGAGAAGGAGAGCTTCACTTCAGACGTCACATTGACAAAGGATCGCATCATCACCCTGCCCCCAACCTCACCCCATCTCTCGGCGGATGATCGGCTGTGGATCCTGCATTCCGCCCTCCATCAGTGCCTCGAGTTCCTGGAGACAGTGATGCGTAGGGAGGAGGAGGAGTTTGGAATCCAGGTGGGAGGAGACTACAGGAAAATGCAAAACATAGTGAAAGCCAGACTTGGGGATCTCCTCCAGAGCATGAAGCTCCTCACAAGGGGAGAGAGAGTGACGGCACTCGCTTCTCACACAGAGGTAAAGTGCATTTCGTCACACATCGCCTCTCTGTGATAGGAAGTAGTTTAGAAAGGGTTTGATAAATATGAGTTTTAATGTACTCTAAACAAGGAAGATTCATGTTTAGGGAAGACCCTTGTCAAGCCCAGGTCACTAATACTTATTTTAATTTTATTTATCCAGTTCTTATTTTTTTTTTTAGAAAAAAACAATAACGAAATAATTTAACCATACTCATTTTACTATGAAAGTGAATGGTGGTCTCTCTCTTCTTGCTCTCCTACATATTTCTGCTTCTCATTCCATCCCCTGCAAGTCTACAGATGGCTCAGAAAATGGCAACATTTTCGCGCTGAAGGTCTGGATCTACAGGGTCCTGCAGGAACTGATGCACTGGATCAAGTGTGCCAGTGAAACTCTCCTAACACTGCAGTCGGAGCGAGAGACGGAGCCCAGAGTGACCAGGAGGAGAGGGGGCCAGGAGAAACGCGGAAGTGAGGGAGAGGGAGGGAGAGAGAGAGAGTGGAGGAGCAAAGTGAGGAGAAGAGCGATGGAGGGAAAGGTTGCAAAGGGGAGGTGTAAAGCAAAATGAAGGTATGGCGGGCAGGCAGCCTGGAGGAGGAGTAACAGGAGCGCAGAGAAGGACACAGACTGGAGAGGAAGTATGAGCAGACTGAGAGGCGTGTAAAAATATAGTAAAAATACAGTGTATGTACACTGGCGGCCAGAAATTTAGGCCCCCCTCAGATATTAAAAAAGGTACCACTTTACAATAAGGCTCCCTTTTGCCTGGTAAATGGTAGTAACTCATTAATAAAAAGAAAACTGTTATAACTTGTTTTAAATTGTCTACTAATAAGTGCTGCAACCTTTACAATTAGTACCATTACTAATCTACAATTAATAACCAGATTATAAACCATTCATAGACTCTTCATATGGTTAGCCTTATTGTAAAGTGGCACCAAAAAAAATACACTGCTTTGTCAAACTTTTATTAGAAGAAAATATTAGAAATGTTAACAAAATAATTTTCAGTATTTTAAAGCTTGTAGTAACACATTATTTAGCCACAAAGGCTGAAACTATTGGTTTTGTAGAAGACATATCAGGTCTGTCTTTGGTGCATTGACACTCACTTTGTGTTGAAATTCTATTTACTGATGTCATAACCTGATTTGCTCCTGGCTTCTCCTGATTGTGTCTTAATAAACTAAACGATAATCACATGTCTGCCTTGTCCCACATCAGTTTGTCAGAGGTTTAATGCACTGTCTGCTCCTCTCTTCAAACTTCTGTTGTATTGTATCACACTAAGTCAGAATTTTTTATCAATATTTGCTATTTTTGTGCTTGTAATGGCTAGAACTCAAAGCTGACAATGTAACAGAGGGGTTCAAATTGAAATTTTGAGTGAAGAAGCGTTCTCTCATCGCCAGATAGCCAGAATGTAAAATGTGTCCAAGCATGCAGTGACCTGCTGTTTACAGAGGAAAAGGTTGACAGAAAGCAACAGTGACCAGAAACAGTCTAGTGCAAGGAAAACAAGGAAAGTGACATCAAAGGCTGAAGATTAACACTTAGTTGTGATGTGCAAAAGAAATTGGAAGATGACTGTAATGGTCTGAGGTCTGCGATTAGTGTGAACAGAGAGAAACCAGTACAGTCAAGTGAAGACTGAGAGCAACTGGGCTGTATGGTTGAGTTACTGCCAGAAAACCTTCACTTTGAGGTGTTAGAAAAAAAGACTACCCCAGGTTAAATAACACAAACACTGGAGTATTCAGGACTGGGCGCAGGTCTTACTGACGGACAAAAGTCCATCCATGGGTTGAGTTGGACCAAGACGTTTGAAATGAGCATCTAGCAAATGAGACAGAACTGTCTGCATGCCCGAAAGGGTGCTGGGAGGGTTTGGATACAAGTTATTTGCAAAATTTGCTGGCAAGGATGCTGTGAATCTGCTGCTGTGATAAAGGCAAGGGGTGGTTATTTTGACGAAATTCGTACTTTGACAATCGCATTCATTATCATTATCATTTTTTATTTTATTTTTTTAAATCGGAGCCCAAACTTCTGGCCTGTTGTGTATAAATAATCTGCTTTATATCCGTAGTTTAAGATAGCCGATACTGTGACTATCTTCACCCAGCATAAGCATCACACACACGTTTTGGTAAGACATGTTGTTTGAATCGCTGTTACTTTGTTTTCAAGCCGTCTGTTTTCCAGACTTCTCTCTACTGATCAGAGGAGGATTTGGAAGAAGAGTAATGTTATATTAGCAGATTATATGGCATTAAAAGATTGATGAGAGATTGGGGTCAGTATTGCCACATTTTGCGAGTGTGTCGATGACCTCACAAACTCCAGAGCGGCATCCTCACCATGGGAAACATACAGACTGTACTCAGTGCAGACAGACAGGCCCTGTGTTAGGTACATCTCAGGACCGTCAGCTTCTGACACCCACATGGCGTGAAAATTCCCCTCTGCTGGGTCAGCCCTTCTTTGGTCATGGTCCCCTACACCAGCCCAGTGGGATGCACATTGGCAGCTGTGTGTCAAGGCTTTAGCTCTGTGGGTAATTTCTCCAATTTTTTCCTCTATCCAGTAGATTGCCCTCTACTGGTCAGAGTAGGATTTGAAAGAATAGGCAAAATAAGGTTGTTCGCAGAATTTTGTTGAAATGCACAGAAGGAAATATTTTTTTTAAATCTTATTGTTTAATTTTCATTATTTCAGGGACGAGAAATAAATATATTAGCGCTTCATGTGTCTAATTAATATTGGATAAATTGGGGAAAAAATGTAACACACACACGTTTGCTACGCCCACGTGGTATGAAGGTGTTTTGTTCACTGAATTATGTTTGAGGATATGTGTATATAAAATGTTTTACAAATATAAAGTTGAAATGTCAGCCGTGTCTTTTAAACTCAGTGACAGCACGATGAATAATATATTCTGTGCATTAATTGAGGCCAATTTTGTTCAGTTTCTGACTCTGAAAATAAACGTGTCATGTGTTTGACAGTGGAGGAGAAAGCGGGAGTGTGTGTGTGAGGGAGAGGGTGACGAGAGTAAATGTGTGTGTGTGAGAGAGGAGGCTGTGTTTGTGGCTGTGCACAGGAAGAAGGTTGCATACTGTTTTCCTATATATAGCTGATACAGATGTAGTTGTGCACTTTGTAGAGTCACGTAGACTTATGTTCATCCAAAAAAATTGCTCAACATATGTTATATTTAACCACTTCCTATTCAATCGTCCTTTAACGCCAGGCAAACAGTGGTATTGGATGAATGGAGAGATGATCCCTGTTTTGGATAATGACGGGGCATGAATATTTAAATAGAGCAGTCGCGGCGCCGTGTGGTTGTTTACTGTAACTGCAGCGATGGTGAAAATCAGACGAAATTGTACTGTACTACCCCGGCAGTGCTGGAGAGGGCAGTGTCGAGCGAAATCAAACTTAAAGTTATTCGGCTGTGCGACCGTATTGTGATGACATGTGATTGGGAAAATGTCATCAGGTGCGTGTTTAGCGGTTCAGAGGATTAGCGGGTCTTGATTTCGATTGAATGATAGACACCTGGGGGAAGTTTTAAGGGTAGAGGACTTTGTTTAGGGGAGAGTGAGAGATGGCGGGGTTTTTCCGTGAGGCAGGGATGTTGTTGGACGCTCAGTTCACAAGAAAGGACGTTTGGGGCTTGTTGGATTGACTCTCGGATGGAGTGACCGGCGAGGGACGTACAGGAAGACCTTGTGTGCGGCGTATTGTTTTTTTTATGTGCGTTTTTGGTGGCCTTTCGGGACGCCGATGCCCGCAGACTGATCTACAGACACACGGGAGGGTCTTCGCGGCTGCTGGATAAAGGGATGTTCGGTGGTGGTTTTAATCTTGTTAAAGGAATTGTGTGTTTGGGGAGGGGTATTTACTATGGTTTAGTGTGGAGAGTGGGTGGCTTATTGGGAATATCTTATGTATTGAGTGTGTGTATTGTTTTAGTGTGAGGGTTTGCGGTGCCTTGAACGTGTTATTGTATTGGGGTGGTGGTTATCTATGCATAATAATGTGTTAAAGTCTAACCTATCCCTACTTTAGATCTTTTGGGGGTGCGT